ATTCGTCGTCGTCGTCGTCTTCGTCGTCGTCGTAGTCCCCGTTTCGCCGTCTGTTGTCGTCGTCGCCGTCAGTCGTCGTAGTCGTCGTCGTAGTCGCAGTCGTCGTCTTCGCCGTCAGTGATCGTCGTCTTCGCCGTCAGTCGTCGTCGTGGTCGTCGTCTTCGCCGTCAGGCGTAGTCGTCGTGGTCGGCGTCGTCTTCGCCGTCAGTCGGCGTCGGCGTCGTAGTCGTCGTTGTAGTTGTCGTCGTCGTCTCCGTTTCGCCGTCGGTTGTCGTCGTTTTCGCCGTCATTCGTCGTTGTCGTCGTCGCCTCCGAGTTATAAGCGGTTATCCGAGCTCTCCGCGGCGGCGCGCGCGCGCCCGCACTTGCGCGGAGGCGGCCTCGCGGCGCGTCGGCGCTGTCCAGCTGGCCTAGCCAGCTGGCACCGTCGGGGCCGCCCAGGACGACTGCGACGACGACGACGACGACGACGGCGGACGGCGACGACGACTCATCATGACGATAATGATGACGATGACGATGACTACAACGACGACGACGGACAACAGCGAATACGACGACGACGTCGACGACGACGACGACGACGGCGGCGGCGGCGGCGGCGGCGACGGCGATGGCGACGGCGCCGGCGACGACAGACGGCGACGACGACGACGACGAGGCGTGCGGTCGTCACAGCCGTTCTTTCGCTTAGGACTTAGAGGGTGGGGGCCTCCGGGCGTGCTGCATGAAGTGCAGACGCCCCGCAACGGCGACGGCCTGGCCACAGCCGGGCGGGGGCCACCCGCGTCGCGCTGGCCCCCTCTGCAGTGCTCACGGCTCGCGCCACTGCTGCTGCTGCCGCCCCCTCCCTCCGAGCCTCCTCCGAGCCTCCTCCCTCCTCCGAGCCTCCTCCCTCCGAGTTTCCTCCTTCGAGCCTCCCTCTGCCCTCCTCCGGGCCTCCTCCCCCCCCCTCCCTCCTCCTCCCCTCCTCCGCGCCTCCTCCCCCCTCCGAGCCTCCCTCCTCCGAGCCTCCTCTCCCACCCCGGGGACTCCGCGCCTCCCTCCCCGAGCCTGCCTGTGATGCGGGCAACGCCGAGCGAGGCGGTGTCCCCGGCGGCCCTCCTCCAGGCCTGTGCCGGGTGGAGGGCACCAAAACCGAGGAGCAGGGAAGACGAACCAGAAGAAGAATCAGAAGAGCAATGAAAACAATAATAATATCATTAATGTTGAAACTAAGAACAACAACAACAACAACAACAACAACAGCAACAACAACGCTAATAACAACAACAACAACAACAACAACAACAACAACAACAACAACAACAATCACTTTACCCGAACGCTCAGTGTTCTCACCAGTGCCAGGGTTTTCATGCGACGCCAGCCAATACCCCCACTTTGTGGGGGGGCAGTGCAGCTCTACCAAATATCCCCACGACTCTTCGCCACCACCCACACCCAGCTTCCCGCCCTATGACGTTCGGACACTTCACTTCGTGGCCTGCGGACGACCGTGGCTACTACACTGGCGTGGAGTACACACCCACAGAAGTTGTTAAGGACAGCGCGCTAGAAATTTTGAAAAGTCCAGGTGTTTTTCGAGGACCTACGGTGCGATTCGTGTGATTTTATGATGCGCGGTGCTAAAATTCTTAAGAAGCCCAATGGTTTTTGGAGATTTCGGCGTGCGCGCGCGAAGAAAAAACGAATGTGTCCCGCATGGTATTATTTGACAGGGATGATGGCCCTGGCAGGTGCGCAACCGTTGTCGCAGAAGTTCGAAAAAGTTGCTCGCAAAAGCCCGTTTGCCAGAAATCTTTAAAAAGTGTTGGGTTTCCTACGAATCCGCAAGAGCGCGCGGGATGAAATTTTGACATTTTTTTTTGAAAAACCATGGGTTTTTTGATGTTTTTATGTTAAAATCGCTACGAAACCTAAGGTTTTGGAAGGATTTCGTCTTGCGCGCGCGAATGTCCACTTTACCTTATTTTTTGCAAGGGATTATTGAAATTTGATTATGTTAGAAGAGGAAATGTCATTTTCTATTGTTTTTTGCAAGGGAAAGCGGGGGGGAACAAAACAACCGGATCTGGACCCCATCCACTTTTCTGAAGCTTTCGCGAAAAATGATGAAAATGTAGCTGCGGCCTAGGCGCGGCGGGGGGGCCGTGCACCAGGGGTCCCAACAATAATTATTCTTTAGAATTAATAATGTTCAACAACAACAACAACAACAACAACAACAACAACAACAACAGCAACAGCAACAACAACAACAACAATCATAATACTAGTGATACGAATAATTACAGCAGTAATACTACTAACAAGAATAAGAGTTATAATAATCGTATTACTAGTGATAATGCATGAGTATGATGACGGTGATGACGATAAGGATAACAATGCAAATACGATTAACAAGTCCGATGCTGCTAATACTAATAATGGCAAGAACAGTAACGATATAGATAATGATAATAATGATAATAATGAGAGTATCAACAAACCTACTGGTAAGAATACTGCTAGTAATGATCATACAAGTAGTAATGGTGATGATGATCCATAAAACAATATGACAGTAATAATGATGATAATATCAATAACACTAACAATCACCCATGGTGCATGCCGGGGGACACGGCAACGACCGAGCGGTGGGGGCTTCTGGAGGTGCGGGTGGGCGAGGTAGGGGGCGCGGCGTGGCTGCGCCTGCATGCGCGCAGCGGCCGCGGCCGCTCTCCCAGGGGTGCCCGAGCCGGGCAGTGCCTGCGCTGCGGGCAGGCGGGAGGCACGCTGTCGAGGCGGAGAGCAGACCCTGAGAGCCGACGCTCCCCCCCAAAAAAGCGGAGCGGCGGGATTTGGGCACTCTTCGGCCTCCGAGGGGTCTTCGCCGGGCCTCGGGAGCGTCCAAAACCGGCTCCGGGGCCCACGCATCGACAAAACTGGAGCAGCCGGATGTTTGGGGAGCGACGAAGAGAAACGGGTCTTGCGCGAGATGACGTGGCGGCCTTGCGCGGGCAGCTTGCGCGCCAGTGTCAGCGAAAAAATGGGAGCAGCCGGATGTCTGGAGATGGAGGTCCCAGCACGGTGTGGGCACCTGGCCCACCTCCGCGCGTCCGTCCTCGGGAATGGGTCCGCCGCCTGACGGGGAGGAGGAGGAGGAGGAGGAGGAGGAGGAGGAGGAGGAGGAGGAGGAGGAGGAGGAGGAGGAGGAGGAGGAGGAGAGGAGGAGGAGGAGGAGGTGGAGGAGTGGGAGGAGGAGGAGGAGAGGAGGAGGAGGAGGAGGAGGAGGAGGAGGTGGAGGAGAGGAGGGGGAGGAGGTGCAGGAGGAGGAGGAGGAGGAGGAGGAGGAGGTGGAGGTGGAGGAGGAGGAAACGGCGGCGTGACGGCGCGGCGGCGTGGGAAAAGCGGGGGCGGGCTTGGCGGGCTGACAGTGCGCCACCCAGACCAGGGCGAGTCTCGTCTTCTTCGTAACCAAGTCATCGAGACTGCGTCCGATATACGATGGTAGTGGCCTTCGGCCAATGCCGCCGATCCAGGTCGCTTGGGGTGCCCCCCAGACTGGGCGGCGACATTTCGCCGACAGACACGCACGCACACGCTCGCAGACATTACGCGCACACACGCACACACGGTGTCCGATATATGATTCCCACGATCAATAACATTCGCGTCTGGTGGACCACGTGTGTGATCATGGCGCGGACACGGCCCTGTGCGCGTGGTACCAGATTGAAAGGCCGACGCCGCGGCAGGCCATTCAGGGCGAGGAGTTCCAGGCCTGTTCAGCGGCACGGGAGCATGATCGTCATCGTCATCGTCATCAGCAGTACCATATTCTCACTGTTAGTATTACCCGTGTTTGTAGTATTAGTGTTGTTCTGATGAATAGTAGTAGTCTTATTGTTATTATCATTGGCATGTTCATCGTCATCATCCGCAGCATCATCATCACCTGTCTCAGCACAAGCATCGTCATCAGCAGCATCACCAGTGTCGTCATCATTATCATCACCAGCATCCCCATGATCATTGCCATCAGCGTCATCATTGATCGCCACTACCATCCCCATCATCATCATAAACACAAGCATCATCAGCTGCATCACCATTGCCAGCCATTTTGGCTCAAGCACTGTTGAGGACCTGTCCACCTTTCTCGCGCGCATCCACGAGCAGTGGTATCTTCTTCGCCTCACATGTCAGTTTCACTCCCAGCCCCGTCTCAGTGCAGCATGCTGGATAGAACGATGTCGGGCGCTTTGGGATCGGGAGGTGCCGCGCCACCTGCCAAACAAGCACGTCTTCATGGAGGTGCCGACGCGATGGATGACGGAGAGGCCACCGACTTAGAGGTCCTTGACCGCGCTGCTGCCAGCCCTGTTCGCCAGGCCCCGCCCCTGCTCCACGGCCTGAACCCCGAGGCAGCCACGCTGGTGGAAGCGATCAAGGCGTCGCTGAACCCGGACTTCGCAGGCCTCCGCCAGGACGTGAATTTGGTCTCAACAAAGCAGACTAGCATGGATTTGAAAGTGGATTTGATGGGAACTCGCATGGTGGCCATGTCATCCAGGATCGACAAAACGGATCGAGCAGGGGAGGACCTCGCCAGCCGAACGCCAGCTCTCGAGCGTGGGGGAGTGGGCTCCAACACATCCACAGCAGGTGACATAGGAGGCACTCGTTCAGGAACTGGCGCCCATCCAGGCAACCCATACAGTCGTGGAGCAGATTTTGCACCGAAGACTCGCCGCCAGATCATCGTGGTGGGCGGTTTTCCGACAGACACGGAGAAGGCTCGTACTATTCAGAAGTTAAGAGACATCGTGGCGCTCAACCCCTCATTTCCGAACTGGACTGGCCCCGACTTAGTGGAGGACATATACACGCTTGGCCCGTTCTCATCCATCGGGAAGATCAAGTTTCGTTCGTCATCTAACATGTGGACTTTCCTGAAGGCCTTCAAAGGGCATAAGTTCGACTACAACGGTCGGCCATAATTTCACCAGATAGACAGCACCGAGGACGAGCGCCAGATGAGCAAGAGGACGTCGGCGGCCCGCAACATCATCATTGCTCACCTGAAGTCAATCAATCGCCTGTCCGAGAACCCGTCGCGCGACGACCTGCAGCAGGTCCTGCCGCGCGACTGGGGCGCGGGCATCGCGCGTCACCGCTCGCAGGACGGCATGATCAGCCGCCTGTTCGAAGCCAATCGTGGGGCAGGTCTTTTCGAGGTTTCTACGCAGGCTCAGGCCTCGCAGCTGAACATTCCCTTCGCCGAGCACCTGCAGGACATCAACTTCGGCACGCGCTGATGTGTGGGGCCAACAGCGCCTCAGGGTCGATGCTCGACATTGCGAATTATCTCGTGGAATGCGCGTAGCATCGAGAACGAATTCGACTCTTTCTGCGCAGAGCTGGAGAAAGAGGAGCTTTGGGATGTCCTTCTTCTGCAGGAGGCAGCGTGCTCAGAACATGTCCGCGCTGGCGCCATGGATGGCGGCCATATCCCCTTTGTTTCGAGCACACATGAGGGGCGTAGGAGGATTGCGACTATTGCACATCGAACCTCCGCGGGAGACGTCGATTCGCCCTTCAAACAACGTGGAGGGGCTATGTCCGTGGGGCTTCGGCGGGGTTCTCAGAGTATCCTCCTCATCTGCGCCCATCTACCTCCTTATCATAACGCGGCTGAGTAAAATGCAAGTATTGATTGTGTTCACGAATTAATTGCAGAAAGCTCGTGCGGCTATTTAGTGATTGGAGTGGGCGCCCAGGCCACTGTGGGCAATAGGCATGCTGCTCCGTGGGTTGGCCCCAATGCTACTGCTCGTCGGGATCTCGTCGCCCCTCACTTCCTGGATTTCGTCAAGACTCACGACCTCGCTCTCCTTAATACCCTGGAGTCTGCTCCCTCCGATTGTTGGACGTGTCATTATGACTATAAGATGGGGTCGGCTCCTCAGCAGATCGATTACGCGGGGGTTTCTCGAGACTTGCTGGATAGGCAAATCAAGCTTGACTTTGCACTACCCGCGTCGACGGCGACCGAGCCGGACCACAGGCCGATATGCATCACGCTGCAGGATTTTAAGTCTTCTCTACCTGCTCGGTCCTTTCGGTCGGCACGATCGTCGCTAGGTTGGCAGATGCAGGACTCAGAGTACCCATGCAAGATCTGTGACGAATTGGAGCTTCCACTTTTTCCTGGACAAGAGTTCGAACCCGCCCTGGACCCGCGGGCCTGGCATATCTGGACCGACGGAAGTTTTACCAAGGGAAGAAGACTGCCGAAACGGGTGGAATCAAAAGCTGGTTGGGGATTTACGGTCTTTCCTCAGGGATGCGGGGCTCCATCTACCAGGTCTCAGGCTCTCCTAGCAGCGCGCGGACACGCTGCCGACGATCCGCAACATGGAGCTTTTCTTGGGGCAGTGCGACGTACCAACGGCACGGCCGAGATCACGGCGCTGATTGAATTCAGTTTCTGGCTTTGACAGCAGGGTCAACACCAGCTGGCGCTTTCGGTCCTCCCTGGCTCCCGCAGAAGATTCAGGTCCGACAAGTTTCTTATCCCTTTGGGTAACACGATCATCATCCACGTCGATGCGAAGTATGCGATTCTCGCGGCGGAGGGCACGATGCGACCGAAGGAGAACGCCTTCCTGGCCTACCTCGTTCGTCATTTAGTTCAGCAAGTTCGGAAATACTTTCGGATTAACAATTCGTCTGGGATCGTTCACATCAGTCCGAGAACGTTGGGAGAGACTACGCCGATTACCTAGCCAAACAGGGAGCCCGTACAGCCTCGGAGGCACCAAAGTGGTCACGACCTGCGCAGGTCGACTGGTTTCAAGCTGACTTTCTTCGATTGCTGGGCGGTGCTCAGCAACTCTGTCTTCCGATCCATGAACAGATGCATCTCCAACAGAAGAGGTTCGAGACCAGCTGTCCTGAATTTCTCGTCGGGGACCTCACGGAGTCGATTTTGCCCTCGCTTCTGCCTCGCGCGGGCGCGGGCGGAAAAACTCTACCGACCCTGGGAACTTTCACGAACGTGGTCTCCAGCGTTGCGTCTCGATGTGGTCGAGGCTGTCCTAGACGCAAAGCAGGTGCGGTAGCTGCAGATGACCCGCTCCTTGCTCGCGCTCGCGACTTGCAGCGTCAGTTGCGCGTGGAGACGGGGAGCCGCGTGCGCAAACAGCTAGCGAAGGATATTTACCTACTTAGAAGACAGGTCTCCAGGATGCGGCCCACGGCCAAACTCAATGAAGCTCTCAAGACAAAACGTTTCCTTGGACGCCCCAAAGCTCGCCCTCGCATTCCCGAACTCAGCTGGACCCATAACGAGGCGGCTTTGTCGACGACGACGACCGGACAGAAATCCAAAATGTTAACGGACTTCTTTTCGGAGCTTTTCGGTAACCCGAAACCTACGCCCTCCTCATCTGCCTCTGACTTCCCTGCCCCTAAACGAACGACGACGACGGACCCCCCGTGGATGCATCATCACTGGAGTCCGTCCGCACTCGAGGCCTTTAGACACACTGATCGCGGGTGGGTTCAGGAGGCTTTACTCAAAATGAAGATGGGTAAGCAGGGTTCTAAGCAAGATGGGGTAGTGGTGGAGATATCAGCGCAGTTACCCGAGCAAGCTTTTGAGTGCGTCGCCGACACGTTTAAGCACCGTCTGCTGAACTCGCGAGGCGAGCACGATGATAACGTCTGGGGGTCTCACATGATCAATCTTTTAACGAAGAAGGGTTTATGCAAGTCGGGGAGCATCACGGACTTGCGACCCATCACGTTGCTGCCTGTCGTTTACAAATGGTATAGCCACGCCCTACTCCTCCTCCTCAGTCCTGAACAACGGCAACATTCGAAGTATCAATTCGCCTTTCGAAAGGGTTCTCAAGCAGAGGAAGTTATTTTCATGTTCAGGCAATTATTCGAGACATGCAACGAGTGGGACCCAGAGAACCCTCTCTTCACCTTCGCGGGAGATATTCTCAAAGCATATGATTACACTGACCGCGGCGAGGTGGCTCGGGCCGGGGTCAAACATGGGGCCCCGAAGATTTTGCTCGCAGGCTGGCTCCGAGAAGTAGGCAGGATGACAGCAACAGCTTCACTGGACGACCTCACCTGTTCGGCTCCTGTCGGCAGAACTCGCTCTCTGGTGCAGGGGGGCCCGGCTGCGCCGTATCTGTTCAATCTGCGGCTGGACGTCCTGATTGACCAGTTCGTCAAACGCTGCGAGAAGTATGACTGGGGTTTCCGCTGGCAGGTATCCACCGGCAGGCAGGAGGATTTGTTCATACCCATCTTGTGCTTCGATGACAATTTCTGGATCCTGGGGAGGACCCGCAGGGAGATGAAAATTACGACGGAAAGCTGGCTCCAGATCCTGCAAGACGGCGGATACGAAGAGGATTGTTCTGAGCGTGAATGGTCGAGCACATCCCTCCCAGAGGCTTCCTGCTGGAACGAATCGGTTTCGATTCAGGGGCACGAAATCAGACGGGTTCCAAAAGCCGAAGGCATCAAGATCCTGGGGGCCATGTTATCACACGACGGACGAGATGTTGTTACATTGGAACATCGGATCTCACAAGCCTGGAAGTCGTGGTTTAAATGGCGGCCAGTCTTCTGCCAGCACCACGCCCCGCTCGAGAAGCGGCTCCTTTTGTGCGACAGCGTGATCCGCAGCAGTCTCTTTTGGGGTGCGAAAGGGTGGAACCTGAGAAAAGACCAATACGCCAAGCTGAGAGGACTCCAAGATACTTTACACCGTCGAGTTTTCGGATTCCGAAAAGTCAGCCACGAACCCTGGGGAGATTTTAGGGTCCGTACTTATGGCAAGATAAATGAAGCAAGGAAAAGGCTGGGGATTCTGGATTGGGATGAGTATCTTATGCAGCTGCAGTTTCGATGGGCAGGTCATCTTGCACAACTGAGTGCGAGAGACCCCGCCCGCCTCACCCCGCAGGTCCTCCATTTTAGGGACGCCAGGTTCCTCCGTGCACAGGAACGAGCTCTCGGTCGCGGGCGTCAAGGCCACGCGCGCAAGCTCCGCCCATGGAGGTGGGAATCCTTTCTCTCTCGTTGCCCTCACCTCCCCCAGCCCTGGAATGTGCGTGCCCAATGTCCCGAGCAATGGCCCCACTACATGAGTATAGTTGTTCCATGGCGATATGCTGCACACTTTTAGTTTCATGGAGTTTTCCGTCTCCTCCAGTCTCCCAGTTCTGGTCAGGGCCGAACTCGTTTCGAGGAGCATACATACATACATACACCATTGCCAGCACCAGCAACCTCGTGATCATCACCGTCACCATTGTCACCATCATCACCATCATCATCAGCATCCTGCCCTCGGGATCGGCGCGTTGCCCGCCGTCTTCTCCGAGACGCAGCGGGCGGGCCACGGGGGCGCAGTGCCTTTCCAGGAGCGCCCGGTGCCACGGCGGAGCTGCAACACGGGCCCCCATCATCACATCCTCTTCATCATCATCCTCATCCTCTTCCTACGAATCTTCCCACTCTTACTCATACTCCTCGTTTTCCTCCTCCCCCCCCTCCTCCTCGCGAGCCTGGGGGGTCATCCGGCGAAGCGCATTTCCAGGAAGTGCGGCAGGCTCGCCGACGCAGAGGCCCTCCCGAGCGTCCTGCACGGAACGCCACGGCTCTGAGCACACCCTGGCGCGCCTCCGTGCCTTTTCCTCCTCCTCGTCTTCCTCCTCATCCTCCTCATCCTCCTGGGTTTGCCGTGCCATCGTGGGTGGCACTTGCCAAATGCAGTCACTTTCTTCGACAAAGGCGACAATGACAAGCGCTGAGCTCGCGGGTGGCGAGCAGCTAAAGGACCTTATTTGCAACGCCTTCGAGGGCAATTGAACTCTGACTTCGAGCTCGCCCACGTGACGATGCGATCCTGTCGACCTCGCGCGTGTTCCGTGGAGCTGTCGGACGTTGTCCTGAGGGAGCCTTGAGACGGGGGTCAGTGCAAACGGGGGTCAGCCAGAGCGCTGGGTCTTGCAGGATCCTGCAAAGCCAGGGTTGCATTGACCTGGGCTAGCGCGCAGGATCCAACAGGATCTTGCAGGATCCTGCAAAGCTTGACTGACCCGGATCCACCTCGGTCCCCGACTCGGCTGGCCCCGAGGCTTCTCTCTGCTGGTCCCCACAGCACAGGCGCCTGACGGCGGTGCCCCTCCCGCCAGTCTCCCGTGACTCCCGAGCCTGCCCGCTCGAGTGTGGCGCACTCAGTGCTGCCAGCGCGTCTGCCATGAAGCTCTCCTCCTCCTC